TAAAATTAGAATAAAACTGCTTCTGCTGTAAACACAGATACTCTATTAAGTAACAAAACCAGTAGGAAATGGGATTTTAGGCATTAATCCAATGTCTATTCAGAATGCATACCACAATCCAGATGACTCCGTCCTTCCTCTTATCTTTTGTCTCAATAAAACCTTTAAAGTCCTATATTATGCAAAATTTACTTTCTTGACCTTTTTAACTATGATATAAATATATTCCTTAATCAGAAGTAAGCACAGAGTGGTAAGGTGTTTCATCTGATAAACACATCTGTGAGTGTTTGTCATGAGTTTTTCTCTCTAGTTGCAGTCCCTCCCTCACCTGAGAAAACCTACAGCAAGGCTCCCTCCAGGAAAAACACCTACCTTAAATTTGCTATGCCAGCATTGTCAACAAACCCCCTTCTCCCATCAGAAATGGGTGATGCGATGTAGAGTGCAATGTTTCTGGTTAAGACTAAATTGCTCTTTTAGCTGCTAATCTGCACAGAGCAGCAGCTTTTCTTTTTAAGCTAATATCTAAGTCCTGGAAATCTGTTTATTGATCTCCAGTCTTGGAGTTTGTTTAGGCTTCCCAAGTGGTGTGAAATGGGCGGCACACAGACTAAGAGAGGTGCCTTTGCTTTGAAGGGAAGTGTTTTTCTTTCAGGCTAGAAGAAAACAGCTATATTTTCAAACAAATTAATACCCATGTAGATCTAAAGCAGTGGTGGCTGCTGCGCTCTAAAGCAGGGGAGGATAAATGGTGTTATTAAATCCAAACGTACTGCATTAACAAATGCTGAAACACATTACTTCAAAACAAAATCAGCCCTGTACAATGGGTGAAAATAGCCATGGGAAACCACACTGAAATAATAACCTCAGAAACAACTGCAAGAGTTCAGCACAAGACGACTGTTCTGATTGAATGATTTTTTTTTTTCTCTCTTTGAGTCTCATGAGGAAAGCCTTCCCTCTTTGTGGCCACTCTCAGTCAAAAAGCTTTTAGTGTGTTCTACTAATCAGCATCGAGCAGCCAGGTTTCGACCCGCCCCAGCTCCAGATTCTTCATAAGAGTCTTATATTTAAAGGAAGGGAGGTATTTTTGTGTGTTACTCCATAAGGACCATACTTTCTCACTGGTAGCTTCAATACAAGGAGGCCATTGATCTCTATTTATTCACTGAATTGCTGATTGCCCGAAAAAAGTGAAGCCACCAGCCACCATGTTGGTACTCCCCACTCCCATGGAGATGCGCAGTAAAAAGTCCCACTTGTGTAGCAGTTGCTGACCGCAACACAGTCAGCTTACTGACTGCAAAAACAAGCAGTTTGCCAGCTGTGGAGAAGATGTTTCACAGGTAATTTTACAGTCAGTGGATGTACTACCCAAGAAAATCTTTATACACACCCATGTATCCCATAGTGTAGTGTGTAGCGTAACATTAGTCTGGCTATCTTGGACTTACTCAAAGATATTGACTGAGTTAGCCATTGCCATTGTGTCTAACATTATAAAATTGAGTAAATAAAAAGCAATTCACTGTGAAATGTTAATGTAGTAATTCTTTTGTTGTAATTGTTTGTTGTATAAGCAGATGCATTATAGCTAATGCACAGACACAGCATAAAATACATGACATCATTCATGCACAGTCTGCAAATAGGAAAACACTATAGCATTAACAGACATGTAAAATCTACTATGCTCCATTAACACATTAATTGTTGTGATGGATTTGTATAATATGTTATATTGCTCTCATGATCGGTTTAACGAATTTGACCCACATGCAGAGAAACCACTCAGAGAGCACGGAAAAAGTTTAACAGGTTTATTGAGGTGGTAAAACAGGAGTTGGATCTGGAACTCAGTGAGCTGGAAACCCGGAACTGGAAGTGAGAAGGGAAGTTCAGTGGTCAGTTCAGGTACCGTGGGAATCTCGGAAGCTCTGATATTTAGCGTGGTTTGGAACTCACGTTTGAGGGGGGCCTTGAATCCAGACTGTGTGGTGAATCTAGAGTTAGGTGCACATATTGGAGGTCGAACAGGTAGACTAGCGTTGGACTCGGAGGAGTAATGGAGCGGACTGTCACTCGGATTTCAAATGGGAACTTGAACGGAACATGTGGAGGTTTTCCCCTGCTCAGTGTAACTCGGTTTATCCTTTTAGGGGAGAGAAGGTCCAGGTATCCAGTAACACAGGAAAGCTTCCTGCCGAGGAGCAAAGACAAAAACAAGTTGCAACCAGAGAAACAAAGCTAGATTAGACTCAGCTAAACTCAGCTTGGCTACACAGCAAATCCAACATGCTCAAATCAACACTGTCAGATTTGATTTTAACACTCTTGAAGTGTCTATATGGGTCCACACCAGAGAGAGTTAATTTGACTCTTTTTGGAGAGTTGGCACCGTAACTCTTATTTAGTGTTAAAAAATAAATCTTTCTGGAGTTGATAATTTAACACTTAATTACACCAACTCGGTGTTAGAATTGGAATATTAACACTCTCATGGAATGTTTTCCTAACTACATAGGAGTTATTCTCTAAAACTAAATGCTGAAAATTGTACTTTTCTGAACATATAAAAACCCTTTGGGAAAATAAATAAAGAAAGAAGCAATGTTTATTCTTTTCAGCAAATATTTATTCCAAAAATACACCACAATTAGAAAATGCTTTTTCAAAACATATAACAATGTGGAACAATATACATATTCTCACTTTTATTAGAATATTGCCTGTCAAAAGGTCTGACATAGGTGAGCTTGTCAATGCAAATAATAACATGCTCATTATTGTTTTCTTCAATACAGTATGCATGAAAGTGTTCATGAAAGTATAGAGTTTCGACAGTACAGCCTATTATGAATGCCTGTTGTTCCAGTATTATTATATGGCAAATTTTATTAAACACAGGTAGATCATTGAACATTGCAGTACATACAAACAGTCCAACCTGGTATTCAGTGCCATAATTTCGTACCCAGTTTGTGGTTAAAATACTTGAGCATGAATCCAGATTTAATGTGTTACACAGTAGATCTCCACCTTCCAAATTATTGGCTATTCTTGATTTTAAAGGACCATATTCAAATCTTTTGAAAGAATAGTTTTCATAATAGAAGGCCAATTGACGCTGATGTCGCTTTACAAGAGATTTTGTAAGATTTTTAAAATTTTTGACAGACTTTTTAAAAAAACTATGCTTAGCCTCGAAACGCATACACCAAATATAAATGAGAGGGCCAATTTTCTTTATACACCTTGGATAGTGAATCATTAGGTGGTGTTTCGGGATTAATTTTTTATCGGGGAACACATTTTTAAACAAGTTATGGTGGTCACAGATTAAATGTTTCAGGTAACATATCATGCCATCAGTAAGGACTGGGGACAACACAATATTAACAATCTGCAACAACAGGAGAACTAGGTTCCAGTGGTTATTGTCCCGCTCAACAATGTCACCAAAAATGAGTGGAGTATGGCAGATGATGCATAATGACTGAATGGCATTTAAACCTAAGTGCTTGCTGTTATCCTCTATTTTTAACCCACTTGGTTTATTTTTTCGCTCGACAAAACCATAATTAAAACTCTGTATCCTGTCGAGTAATGTATCAATCGAGATGTAGCCACTTTTGATCATGTACTGAAAAAACAGTTTCAGCTCATACTGTACTACCCCTTCTAACAAATCATGCATAATATCTACTGCATAGTTATCGGTGCTGTGAAAATATTCTAATGAATTGAGAACACAAGATCACTTAACTCCATAAACAGAAGGGAGTGCAGGTTCTTCACTTAAAGCATGACAATGCTCAACATGAAGTTCTTTGGAGCGCAGAACAAGCCCAGGATCATCTTCATTGAAAACCGACTGAATTTCTTCCTTGTTAATCAAACAAAATCTACACCAGTGTGTTGCACTAAATGATTCAACAAAACCTAATAAACCATTTAAAGCAAGGTTGTCTCCTGTTACTTGAAAAACAGAACCAAAAACTGGCTCTTCAGTAAATGGAAGCCTAATTCCTTCAGTTTCCAATATTTTTAAGTCATCAATGAGAGGCTTTAGTATTTCTTCAAACCCATATTTCTTTAAATCTTCTGTATGAAAAAGAGCAGCTAGATGTACATTCATCAGCACAGAATTAACCTTTGGTGGGAGGTTTTTTAAAGTGAAATAAATACAGCCTAGTTTGTGGATCCCTTTCTTGGAACCCAATGGGTTAGCTGTTTCAAAATCATCATAATACAATAAAATCTGTAAGGCGTGTTTCTTTTGTGAAAACAGAGGATGGTTTTGGAAATATGATCCATCATTAATGTCTTTGTATAAGCCAGTCTGTCTCCGTTTCTCATGCAAAAAGGATTGTAAGATTTCTTTATTCTTGAAAATTGAATTTAAGGTGCCTAAAATCGGTATGTACATGTATCTGTCAGTCACAGGTATTTGGCCATAAATGCCAGTAGTTCTATTTCTACGTGTATCCAATCTTACACCAAGTACAAATTCTTTAGGCTCAACTATTTCCCATTTTTCATCATAATATTTCTGTCTTTTTTTCAGTGTTAAATTTGGAAAAAGGGTTTTCTAATTGGTTTAAACTCTGCTCAACTCTTTTGTAAATATCTGATTCCATACTATGAGGGGGAAACGTTTTAAGTATTACTTCTCTTGCATGACTCTGAACATCACTGACAACTTCCTCAACAGAACTAATTATTGTTTGAACAGCACTTTCAGAAAGACCAGAAGCTTGTAAGTGAGCAACAACAGATCCACACATTCCAACAAGTGACTTCTGTGTAGTAACAGTGGGAGTCTGTGATATAGATAGAGAAGAAGATGACTGATCACTTAACAGTTCTTCTTGAGAATGAGTGTCTTTGACAACTTCCTGTTGGGTCTGTACCTGTCTATCATGACTATGTACACTGTGAAGATGTTTTCTAAAGCCATTGTAAGTACAGAACGACGAAAAACATCCCTGTTCTCCACATTTTAAACGCAGATTTTTAGCTGGATATAAACCATGACAAAATTTTAAATGTTGACAAAGAGCTGAACAATTTTTGTGGTGCATTTTACAAACAAAACATAAGAACATTGTCAAAACGTATTTTTTAACTCCCTACAAGCTTTTGGATCTTGGGGGATTTTAACGCTCTCTCAGCAGACGTGCTCTCAATTCCTTGACTCGTGGACTTTCTTTTGCACTTCCAACATCAATATTGTAGATTGTGGTTTGAACAAATGTGTAAAAACTGCAAAGAGCCTCATCATAAGACAGGCTGAAGACAAAGTGTGCTTTGAATAGCCCATCAAAAGCAGCCACTGATGTTGGAGCATCACAGGGGATAGCTCTCTGATCCACAACAATGAAGAACCTCTGAATGTTGTTCTTCTGCTCACCGATGCAAAGAAGGAAAGGTTGTCTGGTGTCCACTTTCTCCAGGAAAGTAGTAAGGCTGACTCCTTCCTGAAATTTAAATGGCAAATATCAGCCAAAAGTACAGACGCAAAATATGAGGACTACCTTCCTTTTGAAAGGAAAGACCTACAGATTTTGTCTCTCCCTTTGTATAATCTTAAATACAGGATTATTTAATGTAAAATTCACCAAAGGTGACTGTAACACTGTAACAAACTAGTGTTGCATAATGATAAAACAAAAAAACATTACTTGCAATTAGTGTTAAGGGTGCATACCTTGACAAATCTTATGAGATGATTGGCTGCCTGTGCGGAGCTAATCTTTGCAGTTTTTTTGTGGCCTCTAGATGTGGGGGGCAGGAGATGCAGCAACAGCAGAAGAGCTGCAATGTCACTATCCCAGCCTTAAAGAAAAAAAGCTAATTGGAGAAAAAATTTAGTTAAACAGATAAATTTTTTAAAGCTTATTCAAAAACCAAATATGCCTTAATCACTTAAGATATATTTGCTTGCAGTTTACAGTACCGCAAGACAAAATGTTTAATATTATTCCTTTATATATTAAAACACTACCCAAATTTACCAAAGACAGATGGATGTTCCGGGTTAACAGAAGCTTGTAACTCTTCAACACAGGGACTTGATGAAAGACTTTGGCTTTCTGTGATGACTTTTTGCTTGAAATATGAAGGCCACTTTGTGAGAAATCTTCCAGAAACTTCATCCCCAAACATCATAGAGAAATCCTGATCAATCTTTTAAAAAGAAAAAACAGACACCAAATGCTGCTTACCAACATGTTATTTGCACTATTTATACATTAGTGCCTAAATAAATCATAAAATATGAAGAAACACACTTACCAACCCAGGTGTATCAAGAAATCTAGGGAAGACATCCAAGACTGATGATGTTGCATCTGGGTCATGAACCAGCTTCTGTCGATATTCAAAGGTGGCTCTCATCTTCTCTTTAACCACAGCCTTATCCATTGAGTGTCTAATAACAGACAGAGCCTCTCTGAGGTCCTCGCCGAAGAGCTGTTCACCAACCATCAAAGATTCTCTTTGGGTTGTTGGACTGTCCTTGAAATTTGGCCTTGGTCCCCCACGTGCACCATCGTAGGTGTTGCGTTGGACAGTCTTGAGTCTCCAAGCAAGATAGCCACTGTTGGCCTCAGGGTCATGGTAATGTTCCTGCACATAAAAGCACATCAGGCATAATCAAAATTACACAAATGGACACTTATTTCTCAAAACTGTAATAACATGGCAAAATTACATATATGTAGAGTTTCAGACAGAATACATACATAACCATTTTTTGAGTATGGTTCCTGAAGATATGGAAAAAGAGTTGCAATCCCCAGGGCATAGTTAGTCCGAGCACTTATGGGTGGGATCCTCCTTTTGAAAACAAAAAGAAGTATCACTACTCTGGTCAGTGAATACGGATTTCTTTGATCATCAAAAGAGTTATACCCATGAGATTCTATCATATCTGCGACCAGTATGTTGACCATTTGCCGACGAGTTGCATCTGAGAGCGTTTTAGTTTTGTCATATTCGTTGAAGATTTCTTCACCCTTTGGGTTTGACCTCAGGACTGTATACACCATCTGTACAACAAAAATACATATTCTGATTAACCTCTAGTAGCTGGCCCAAAGGCTACTGCTTTTAAAATTAATATCAACACCAATAACTGGCTATAGGCTTTGCTTCTGACCTGTTTTGCATCATCACGATCAAGCTTTTCTTGGCCCTTTTTTCTGTTCTTTGTAGTTTTGAGGATAAGAGTTGAATCCGAAGAACAAGAAGAAGCAGGGGATGAGGAATGGTCTGACAGGGAAACTGGTGATGTTGGAGTGACAAGAGGGGTGGCCTGCACTGATGATTGTAATTCATCTTCAACCAAACTGATCTCAATATCTAGAAAATAACACCAAAAATCCATGTGCATAAATTACAATTGGACTAATGCACAACAAAATAATTGTATTTGATATGTGTTCAACAGTATTCTTTAACTCAAAGAAAGAAACTTGGGTAGGATTATTCAAATATGAACTAAACATCATAAAGGAATTTACTCCAGATTATTATGAATCAGTTTTACCTGTTGCTAGCTGCTTTCGGTATCCAACCCTGAAAGCTCGAACCCCAGACCTTAGAAGTTCATCAAAAATGTCTGAGTCAACTTCAGTGTCCGAGGTATCAGTCAGGACGAGGACACCTTCTGTGAAGAGCTGAAGCTCACAGCAGAATTTAGCCGTTACTGAAAAAAAGAAAACTGAAATTAAATTTAACCAAAACATCAAATAAAGCCTTACTATCAATTAGTCACATTGGAGAATATTTTACACCACTTTAAATTTCATATGAATACAAACCATCTTGAAGAAACTGAGTGTAATGAAAGCATTCACCACTTTGTGGAACTTTAATGTACTTCTGCACTCCCCTATATTCCACCTTTACAAGCATCTCCTGTGAGGAAATTTAATAAAGATTATTTTTGCACTACTGAACTGCATAGACAATCAGTAAATTAATTGTTACTTCTGTAAAGCCAGTCATTTAGACAGACATACAACTCTGATCAATTTACAGGTTGGATTTTAGAGGGTAGTAGCATGTTTACTTTTACGTAATCACATTGGTTTTTTGGAGGGTGACTTTTATTTTGGAGGTTAACTTTTAAATGCACAAAATAATTGGCTACACTACCCACCACTGACTATATGGCATATATATATATATATATATATATATATATATATATATATATATAAGGGGTGGAACGGTCACGGTTTTCGGTTCGGTATATGTTTATTGTTACACCGAAAAATAAAACAAAAAAATAAAGATTATAAAAATTAATGAAAAATTAAAATTTATGAAATTAATGAAAAAAAAAATGTATGAATTGTAATTATTTTTAATGAACCGCGGAAACCCTGGATCATTTCCACATGTTTTGCTGCTTTGAATTTAATCATCTGGCGCATGCTCTCTATTATCTCCAAGGAACTCAGAGCGGAGCGGACGGGAGCCACAGTGGAGGCTATAGGCTTTGCTTTGAGCAGCCGGTCTGGAGCGCAGCGGTGTGCTGACGGAGTATGAGGGATTTCGGGGTTAGCAATGCATGACATGTTGGTCATGTTGCTGTTAGCATAAACAAAACGTGTTGCACAATGATTGCACACTGTTGCACTTTTATCCACAACTTTCCTTCCGCCGTCATCGTAGGTCACTCTAAATGCAAAGCGCTCCCATACAGCAGACCTATAAAGTGCTGCTGGCGCGTCTTCCAACGCCTGTTCTTTCCCACTCGCCATACCCACACAATTCTCCACAACAACTGATTTTTTCCCTGCTACATCCGGCTAAGCTGCTTTGCTTCTTCTTCTTCTTGTTTACTACTGGTGGTTGGCTTTGGTCGCAGTACCGCCACCTTCTGCTCTGGAGTGTAAATGCTTCACCTATGAGAAAAAGGAGCCGCGCATGAACGAAACACACGCGAATTGAACCGAGACAGTCGAACCGAACGGTTCAGACGGATTTCAAAAACCGTTCCATCCCTAGTATATATATATATATATATATATATATATATATATATATATATATATATATATATATATATATATATATATATATGTAGGGCTTTTTTTGAGAAGCTGAAACTTGTGCTCGAATTGTACAACAATCATTATTACCTTAATAAATTTTAATCATCAATCTTTGCCAATTTCCACTTCAATACTTTGCTTTGTAACAAATTCTGAAGGGAACTAAATTTAAACTAAAACATATTTTCATGCGCTGCAGAGGAGATTTATTTCTGCAATTCAACCACCATTTGCTGCATCAATTTTTATGGGAGACAGTCTTCAGATAGATGGGGATTCACGTAGCTCTGTGTTGTTGACGATAAAATTTCCCAAATAATTCTTTTAGGTGTATCTATGTTGATGAGTTTAGCCAACAAATACATTAAATATTCGTCTACAAACCTTTTTTCAACACTATACTTACAAAGATCACTAGTTAGCTAAACATGATTAGGCTATCACCGAAGTAATCTAGCTAATGCAACGTTGCAAATGTCTATCACACGGCTCTATTTTGACTCAAACAACGCCATAGAGTTAGAAAGCAAATAAAATATTTAAACCATCTGAGAGAAATTACTTACCAGGCTGAGTAAACGGGTCTGAATAAGAATAAATGGAGACTGAAGTTTTCCTTAGCTTTGTTCGGTACCTGTTGCATTGGAGGCGGAGTCTGTGAATGTACTCTTTGGGTGTCAAATCCACTGTAGGAGTTTAGAGTTGATAGACGAAGTGTTATTTTTTTCCATTTTAACACCTCCAGATTTAGTATGCAACACTATTTATTTAACACTCTGTTTTAACTCGTAATATGTGACACCTCAGAGTTATATTTGTTTAATATAACTCTATTAAGAGCTAAATTAACACTGCCTTTGAAGAAAGTCTACTAACACCATATTATTTAACACTTTTGAATTTGCTGTGTAGAGTACCCAAAACTGGCAAACACTGGCGTCAAGGTAGTGACAGTCCACTGCTCAAATACTCCTCTAGATAATGGTCCAATGAGCCGCAGGTGTGCAGGGAGGGACAGCGAAGACAGGGCACCTTGTGCTGGTGGAAAATGGAGACATACAAACAGACCACACAAACTGGATTCCTAACAATTAGATGATTTATAGACTTCATTGACTTCATACTGACTATGCAATGTAATGTGCCTATTTTATTTACCATTTATTACAGTAATCTACTTATGATATGGACCAGCAAGTGCGTGTCAAAGTGATTAATTTAACTTTATTTTAGAAGTCTTAAGTCTCCCTGAAAATGAGAACATCATCGTTTTTTGATGCTGTAGCGCACATGTTTACATTCAACACCGTACTACCGAAGGGTAATCAGCAATCCAGTGAATAAATAGAGATCAGTAAGCTCAATCCTCAAAGTGTATTTTATGTAATAATATTTTACCAATTATTTTATTCAATTTTCCTAGTATTCCATGACAAATTCCCACTGTTCTAAGGGCATTATTTAGTCATATCTTTACTAATAGGTGGCTTTGAAGGCTTAGAAAAGCATGGTATAGGACCTCTGGAAAAGATTCAACATGTCTGGAATTACTGCATGACCTATATACATTACTCACAACATATTTCACAGTGTTGTATATAACATCATACACTACCCCTTTTAGGAGATGTCTCAGAGAGAAGTCCACAAAATAAGCACTAACTCTGAGATATCTAGGGCTAATGATTGGTCTTATCAAGGAGGAATCATGTGCTCTTTTTCCACTGACACAACTGAACCCGCTTGATTCTATGGCAGTCTGCTTCACTTCACTACATTCAGAACCAGTTGGTTTTTCATAGACTGACAGCAGAAGATATAACTTGAAGCTCTCCTACAATCTTCTGTTGAAACAACAGGTGGATATACGTTTTTAGAGAAACTTTGTTCTTTCTATAATGACTTTTGTTTTAACTGCTTCATACTTGAGAAACTGACAAAGCTAACATGTCACATACTGCAATGGCTTACAATGTTTTAGGTTGTGTTTTACACTTTGATTTTTTGTACCCTTTGTTAGCAAACATTCTACCAACAAAATGAGTTTGCTACCGATCTTTTGGGTTCCATATAGTCTTAGGTAAATGATTTAAACACTCAAAGTGTTTGGAAAACTTGGATTAAACTCAATTCAGTTTATTTAGCTCCAATTCATAAGACATATCCTCTCAAGGCACTTTACACATCACCAGATCATACAGTCAAATTGATTAAAAATTTTCTATCTAAGGAAAACCACTTGATTGCATCGACTCATTGACTTGAATGCAACCCCTTACAACAAGCATGCTTGTAGCGACATGGGAGAGGAAAAACTCCCTTTTAACAGGAAGAAACCTCCAGCAGAACCAGGCTCAGTGTGAGCAGCCACACTGCATGAAAAGTGAGATTTTTGTCCCCGTAAACTCCCGCAGATCTCCCTGATTTTCGTCAGTTTCCGATAATTTGCAACCCGTGCTTGTCGCCGTTGGTCAGTGCCACAAATTGTCGGAAACGGACTCTGACGTATGTGGAGAGCGATCAGCTGTACTAATAGCCCTAATTAGCATGCAGCGAACCCGCGCGGCTGGCCAGGTCTGGCTTGAATAACCTACTCAGTATTGGCTGAAACCACTATTCTCAAACAAGTAAAATCGCTCGTGATTGGCAGCAAAACCACACGTGGCCAGGCCAGGCTTGAATTTTCTTACTGAGTATTGGACAGAACCACTTCTTTTTAAACAAGTAAAATCGCTTGTGATTGGAGAGGCAGGTCCGATGTGCAGACGCCTACTGTGCGTGGCCCTGTACTTCGGCATCGCTTCTAACCGGGACTGCAGCTTAACACAGAGTTCAGAGAGATCCGGCCTACGAAATGACGGCGGCCGTACAATCCATCCGCCAACGACGCCATCTTCTTCGTCAGACATGAGGTCGACGGTGGCGGACTTCCAGAGTTCCACTTCCTCATGAGCTAGCACACTCTGCCTCGATTCCAGCAGCTGTAAAAAAAAATGCACTGCGTATGGACACAACACATCTATCAATGCACCTGAAAAATAGTCACCAAATAAAGTCTTACTCTCTTTCTTTTCTGAATGCTTGGCAGCTTCCGCGCGCAACGTGTTCTCAGGCTGCGTATATCTGAAGCTCCTGCGTACCGTCTCATAATACGTCTTACAGGCAGCTGGAAAACAATTAAATGAGAGTGGTATGAATAATAGGAGGTCACCGCCTCATTATGAGGCGAGATTAGTCTGTGAAAACAAAATGTACAGTTATGATCGGTATCCATCCGTATCTATTTCCTTTTACCGCAGAATGAAAGCATATTCTTTAAATCTTACCCTTGCTCCGGTTCATAGCGCCTGCAATTTGCCTCCGAGTTGTGAAGACGGCGTACTGCTTCCTGTGAATCACAAAAAATACACTTTAATAAAGCTTGTTCTTGCAAGGCTACTATTAGCCGTAGCTTTAGCTTTTAGCTTAGCTAGCAGTAATCGAACACATATTTACCGCTAGCTTCTCTTCTTTGAGTTCGTCTCTCCCGCACAGTTGTTCGACTGCAGAGTCGCCATCGCGTCCAAGAGGAGTTGAAGGCGAGTTGAACGCGAGACGTCGTCCAGCCATTGATCACGTACCAGCAAAATCCAAACAAAGGAACTGGAGATAAAGTTCTTCTGAGTATAGCTCCTCCAATCACATACGAGGTCATTGTTATACGGAAGGACTCGCGAGAACAGCTGCGTCTATCATGTTTTTTTTTTTTTTTTGCTTTATTGGCAATTCCGTGTAACAATACAGAGTAATTCAAACATCAAACAAAGATACACAGCAGTTGGTGACATAACTTAAAAAAAATGAGACATAGAATGTAAAAAATAAATAAAAATAAAACAGGGAAACAAACATATAAATAAATAAACAAATAAATAAAATAAACATAAAATAATAATAGCTAGTGGTTTACATTGAGTTTATGGTCATTTAACTTTTTGTAGCTTCCTGTCCTAAACAGTCTTTAAGGAAACATATTAGAAGATGCAATATTGTATATGTGAGAGAGGAGTTGCTGTAAAACAATGGTTTACCACAGATTTAAAACTAGTAATAGCATAAAGAAATATTGAAATTCTAAAACAGTCTTTAGACTTTTTATCAGCAATTACTGTGGGTAGCACAACTTGTGTTACAGAAAATAGCAGGCTTTGGAGATATGTTCTGGAGAATCTTGATTTATACCATACTACAGAACATTTCAAAAGGCTGCTGACTTTTTCTATGTTTATAGGTGAAAATAATAAAAACTACAAAAGAGCAACTTTGCTGTTCTCCATAAATGTTGGGAAAATTGTTTAAAAGTTTGTTGCATAAGGGCGTGCTTTGGTTGCCCAGTATTTAGCGCACAAAACCCATGTACAGAAAGATTCCTTAGTCCTCGACATGGATGACCCGGGTTCGAATCCTTGGCCGCATGTCTCTCCCTCTCTCATACCCCCTTTCCTGCCAGCCTACTGCCAAAAAAACGAGACACTAGTGCCGTAAAAACTCCAAAATGTTCTGTAAAAACTCCCCCCAAAAAAACTCTTGCATAAAAGCTTCTACAACACAATGCTGTTGATGGTAGGTTGTTTTGAAGGTCAGACAGGAAAGCTTGGTAAACAAATCTAACATATCTGAGATGCCGATACCATTTACTGTGAAAGAAAGGACAACGGAAAGAAAATTTAGAGAATAATGTAGGAGTGCTGCTAGAATTCCAGTTCCCAGATCTGTGTTTTCTATTACTTCTACAACCACTAAAACTTATGTTATAAATGTACGTTATTGGCAAGTGAAACCCTGTCAGAGCTCTCCTTAGATATCAGCCCAGTTACAGTTTGCCCTGCAAAAATAATCTGCTCTCTTGAAAATCTCAAACTCTTGCCACATTTCAGGCATCGAACATAAACATTTTTTAGTGAAGAATCAACAACTAGTTTTACCCAATCATGAAGTGTAATTAAATATATTGGATATTTTTAACTTTTTTAACAAATAAAAAACTGAAGAGTGGGGTGTGCAAAATGAATCGGCCCCTTTTACTTTCAGTGCAGCAAACTCTCCCCAGAAGTTCAGTGAGGATCTCTGAATGATCCAATGTCGACCTAAAAGATACTAAATAGAATCCACCTGTGTGTAATCAAGTCTCCCGATAAATGCACCTGCTCTGTGATCGCTTCAGAGGTCTGTTTAAAGTGCAGAGAGCATCATGAAGAACAAGGAACACATCAGACAGGTCCGAGACACTGTTGTGGAGAAGTTTAAAGCTGGATTTGGAAACAAAAAGATTTCCCAAGCTTTAAAAATCCCAAGGAGCACTGTGCAAGGAATGCACATTTTACCTTGCTGATTCTGATTCACATTTTACCAACTGATTCTGATTAAAACTAATTTTTGAAATAAATTATTTTGTGTATTTTTTTACATAACATTTGCCATTGCTAATGGCATACACAGTAATTTAGCGTACTTTAATTAAATAAATCAATTCAAGCTAAAATGTAAGAGTCTATAATTAGGTCATACTGAGCCTGATCTATTTGTACCATCTATTTGGGGGATATTTATTGCCACACTTTGGGCCACTTAATACCAATTTAGCATCAAATAAATGAGGCAGCCTACCTCAGCATTGTTGCTGACCTTATGTCCTTATGACCACAGTGTACCAATCTTCTGATGGCTACTTCCAGCAGGATAATGCGCCATGTTATAAAGTGAATCATCTCAGACTCATTTCTTGAAACTTTTCCACTTAAGTAATTGTGAATTGAGCATATTGACAGACAACATTTTATTTTTTATCTTAAATGCAATTTTTTTTTTAATAATTACTGCTCTAAATGTATTGCTCTGTCAGCTAAAGATCTGTTTTGGTCTCTATACTTTAATTAAATAAATCAATTCAAGCTAAAATGTAAGAGTCTATACTGAGCCTGATCTTCTTGTACCAGAGATTTGCTTACCTTTTAGAAAAATGTCACTTGGGGTAAAACTCCCCCTGCAACCCTGATTTGCATTTGTATAGCTCACAGCATTTTCATTTACATGTTAAAGCCTCCCCTAGAATTCCATGGGGAGGAGGCATGGGGGGAACACTGCCTAAGAAAGCCCACGTCAATTTCTGACAATTTATGGGAGTTTTCGGCGATGCCTGCAAATTACGGTAAACTGCTGTTAACCTGAACTTCCACGACAATCTACAGTGCCGCATATTGACGAAAATCCCACTTTTCATGCAGTGCCATCTGCCGACTGGGGTTCAAGGTGACAGAGGCAGAGATACAAATAGCAATTGTAAAAGGAGGCCCCGTCCAGGAAACTCGCAGCCAGATAGATGTGCTCCCAGCCAACTCCCATGTCAGAGGATGAAGAGAGCACATTTAGCCAGTCATGGTCAGAGAAACAGGACTAGACTGAAAAACAGGCATATCTCCAACATCTATAAACAAAGGTGTTGATGGCAGCAGCACAGCTGATATTTCTCTCCAGGATGGTGTCACAGCCAAACAGGAACAGACGAGGTGGAGCTACTAGGAGAAAAAGCAGGAAGAGCATAATGTTAGAGATGGAACAGATTCTGCAGAGTGGGATAATAAAAGATAGAATGAAGCAGAATGATAAAATAGGGGTCCCTATGTCATCCAGAAGTCTAAGCCTATAGCAGCATAACTATAGAGATAGCTCTGGATAACCTGAGACATTCTAACTATAAGCTTTATCAAAAAGTAAAGTTTTAAGCCTAGCCTTAAAAGTAGACAGGGTGTCTTCCTCACGGACTATAACTGGTAGTTTGTTCCACAGGAGAGGAGCCTGATAGCTAAACGCTCTGCCTCTACTTTCAGAAATTCTAGGAACCACTAGTAAACCTGCAGATTGAGAGCGAAGTGCTCTGTTAGGAACACAAGAAACAATTATATCTCTGATATAAGATGGAGCTTGGCCATTTAAGTCTCTATATGTGAGGAGAATTTTATTTTTTTTTTGTATTCCTTTACTTTTTCTTCGAAAGATCTGCCTATTCTATTCTGGATTTAACAGGAAGCCAATGAAGCGAAGCCAGGATAGGAGAGATATGATCTCTCTTTTTAATTTTCATCAGAACTCTGGCTGCAGTATTTTGGATCAGCTGAAGGCTTTTAACTACAGTTTGTGGACTTCCTGATAGTAAAGAATTACAATAGTCCAGCCTTGAAGTAACAAATGCATGGACTAGTTTCTCAGCATCACCCCTGGGCAGGATATTTCTAATTTTTGCAATATTCCTCAGATGAAAGAAGGAAATTCTAGAAACCTCTTTGATATGGGTTTTAAATGACAGGTCCTGATCAAAAATAACACCAAGATTTTTTTATACTTTATTATCTGAATTCAGTTTAATCCCATCCAAATGAAGTGACTGACTAATCAGCATATTTTCAAAGATTCTGGTCCAAACACTATAACTTCTGTTTTGTCTGCATTCAGAAGCAGAAAGTTAAGAATCATCCAGGTTTTTATTTCTTCAAGACATGCCTGTAATCTATGTAATGGCTTAGCTTCATCTGAATTTATAGACAGAAATAGCTGGGTATCAGCAGCATAACAGTGGAAGTTAATCCAATGCTGTCTAATAACTCTACCAATTGTACATATATACACACATATACACACATATACACACACACACACACATACACATATATATATATATATAGTAAAGAATATCGGTCCTAGCACTAATCCCTATGGTACTCCACAGGTAATCCTTGAGCATGAGGAAGATTTTATGAACAAACTGAAATTGATCAGACAGATAACATTTAAACCAGTCTAGTGCTGTTCCTTTAATTCCAACAAAATATTTAAGTCTTTCTAAAAGACTCTAAATGCAGCACTGAGATCTAACAGGACATGTACAGATACAAGTCCATTATCTTAGGCCATGAGAATATCATTAGCAAGTTTCACCAGAGCTGTTTCAGTGCTAGTATGATAAGCTCTAAGGCCAGACTAAATCTCTTCAAAAAGTTAATTAATGTATAAGTGGTCGCACACTTGTTTGGCAACTACTTTGTCAAGAATTTTACATGCGAAAGGAAGATTGGATATAGGTCTATAATTGACAAAGTCATCTGGGTCAAGAGACATTATCTTAAGTAAAGGTTTAATTAAAGCTACCTTAAAAGTCTTCGTTACATATCCCTGTAACAGGGATAGATTAATTACATCTAAAATGGAGGAGGAAATCAAAGGTAATACCTCTTTAAATAAACTGGCCGGAACTGGTTCTAACATATAAATTGAAGGCTTAGATGAAGACAATAGTTTTGAAACTCTGAAAGTTCACCTGGAAAAAATGGATGCCAAGAAGGATAAGACATGAGCAACCATCAAAATATATAAAGAACATCAATGTCCATTAAAGGTGACTACTTTGATAGCCATAGCAATAGACTAGGGCTCTTTAAAATAAACCGTTTTAATTTCACACATGGCTTACAGTTTTACCCACTTTTAGCATTATGGTCATTAATATTTTGTATTTTCTTTTGTTCTAAACTTTGTTGTGAAGAACTTTGTGGCTTTGGTCTGTGAAAGATGCTATATAAGTAAAGCTTACTTACTGACTAATGCTTTTGTACTAACAGTGTAAAAAGTTTTGCTTCTCATTCTGTCTGCTGATTTATTAATTTATTTAGTTTATCTCCATTAAACTCCTG